CCGAGTGGCCGGGGGGTGGGGTGGGGGTGGGTCTCAGGCTCACCCTGTGACAGATCCACACTCCGGGTGCCCGGGGGCCAGGGCTGAGGGACGCGAGGGAAGGGCGAGGAGGCCCCCGCTTCTGAACTTCCACTTCGGGGGTGAGAGTCACCGCCCACAGGATGAAGCAGCGGAGCTGGACGGAGGGTCTCAGGACTGTCTGACTCCCGGGCTGCCTGGGCCCCAGGGCTCCGGGCACAGATAGCGCCAGCGGAGACCCGTGTGGCAGGGCCGAGGGCACAGGGAGGGACATGCGGCCCGGCGGCCATGCTCCCCACGCACCGGCACGGGGACCAAGTGCTCTCTGTTGGGTCCAAAGATGGATTCCCCGAACTGCCAAGTGCTCGGGCCGAGGGGCTGACCGGTCGGGACCAGCTGGCCTCGCGCCGATCGCGGTCAGGGTCACAGGAACACAGGCTTGAACATGTGCTGGTGGGGGGGCTCTGGGGGGAGGGGGTTACAACACTGAGGAGGATCGGCCGGAAGTAACAGAACGTGACAGTCTACAGAGGCAGGTGGACAGCAAGGGTGACCCTCGGGGTGGACAGCAGGGGCGGCCCTTGGGGTGGACAGTAAGGGTGGCCTTCAGGGTGGACAGCAGGGGCGACCCTTGGGGTGGACAGCAGGGGTGGCCCTCAGGGTGGACAGCAGGGACGGCCCTTGGGGTGGACAGCAAGGGTGACCCTCGGGGTGGACAGCAGGGGTGGCCCTCGGGGTGAACTGCAGGGGCGGCCCTCGGGGTGGACAGCAGGGGTGGCCCTCGGGGTGGACAGTGGCGCTGTGACGGCTGGGGACACCACTCAGGTGTCCGCCCGTCCAAACCGCCTCTTCCACAGTCACCACGCAAAGTAGGCACACGCCGCCTTCTCCGGCAGGAAGCATGTAATCGGGGTACAGACACGGGTGTTTCTGAGGGGACTTCTCATGGGGACCCCATCCAGGTGAGGGCCGGTGGCAATTCCGAGCCGCACGGGGCAGCCCTGGCTGAGGGGAGGTGCCGGGGCCGGGCCGGTGGGAGGTGGGAGCGGTTGTGTTTGCGAATCCTTGTGCCGGGCCCGGCCAGCTCTTCTCAGCACACGCCAGGGAGGCCTCGGTCTTGCTGCCTCGTGGGGCTTGAGAAGGGGGGGACCCTTTCCCAGGGACCCGCGGGCTGGGGGCATCTCAGGGGTCTCCCCACCAGGGTCTTGAGGGCGAAGCCGGGCCCCCGACA